GGTTTCTTTATTACGATCTCAAGCTATCTCAATGTAATTTTCCCGGGTGCTGTCACACGTTTTGTCCATAAGGTGATATTTTTAAACTTCGTCCTGCTACAAAGTTATTGATTGGAAAATGACTTCGCTGGCTCCCTCTTACGTGTAAGTACAGAACTCAAACGCTTTAGAAATCCGTACAATGAAAATATTTTCTTTAAATAAATCAGTTATAGTGCTCCTTCTTTCCTTACTTTCTCAAAAATTAGTTACACAAAACAAGTTTCCTCCTGGTTCAGAGGATGGACCAATTCAATCATATGACGTTTAAAGTTTGCGAAAATATTAAGAAATATTTGATTAGCAGTCAATCAAATCATCCCAAACGCATTATTAAGCGTTTTATCTTTATCAAAACGAATATTTTATTAGGAAAATAAACTTATTTTAAAACTATGATTTACTTTCTGTTAATGGGGAAGTGTTTATTTTAAAAATTTGTACCCCCGTTCCTACATGGAATTGTAGAGATTTGCCGGACCTCTCTTTTTGGCCTAATGTAATTGATGGACATACTCTTACGTAGTATGTAGATGTTTTATTAATTTTTTGGAATATAAAGCAGAGGATAGCACAGGGTACAGTCGCCTTTAATAAAAAGAAGTCTCTGCTTTGCTCGCGAACGGTTAATTTAGAAATTCGAAAAAATTGTTGAGGATGTATGTTTGGAGCACGGCGCTGTACGGGTGCGAAACATCAACGGTGGGCGCTGAGAAAAAGAAAAGGTTAGAAACGTTCGACATGTGGTATTACAGGCGAATGATGAGGATACCGTGGATAGAGAAGTTTGGAAATGAAGAGGTATTAGAAGGAATAGGAGAACAGAGGACTCTATGGAAGTCAATAAGAAATAGGCGAGATAGGTTAGTAGGACACCTTCTCAAGCATGAAGGTCTAATCAGAGACATATTAGAGGTAGAAACGGGAGTTAGGAGGTAGAGGTAGACCTACATTACATTATTGTTCGCAAATAATTACCCGAGATAAAAATGTTCAGTCTCTCAGAATCTCTGAAAGCGAGACTCGAGTCTCCGTCTCTAATCGAGTCTCTCTAGTGTCGCTGAGAGAGACTGTCGGGAGACTATAAAAAAAACTGTTTAGCGTCTCTGAACGAGAGACTCGAGTAGCTCATAGAGAGATCCTCATTTGGTATCCAGTCTTTGAACGAAAGACTCGAATCTCTGAACGAGAGACTCGAATCTCTGAATTAACAATTTTATCGTTCGAGTCTCTCATACAGAGACTGTGAGAGATCTATAAAAACATCTAGGCAATAACTGAGAGACTGGAGAGAAACTGAAAATGTTTGTCTAGGGTAAGGATGTGGGTTGTTCTAGTTTTAGATAAATGCGAAGATTATCTGATGATAGGAAAGAGTGGTGGTGCGTGTCCAACCTGTCTTAGGACTAACGACCTTATAATGATGATGATACGTCAGTTCTCTTTAAAAATTTCAACTTCTCTTTCCTTTGGCGAAATTTGGTTAGATATTGCCCGACCCACTCCCCATTTGACCTTAAGTAATGAATGTTCCCTAATGACTAAAAATAAGTTGTTGCCCATCAAATAAACATATAGTAGAAGTTGCGTGTTACTGAGATTCGACCAATTTTGTGACTTTATTTTAACTAACATAAAATAAAAAGAAATTGAGTGATCTTGCATCGGACGGGAGTAGAACCCAGCGAAACCCACAGAAAGCGCAATGAATATTGGCAAAAACTGTTTTTTATGAACTTGCCCTTGAATAATTTCAATATTTCTTTCTAATCACTAAAATAAATCGATTAAATAAAAGAATGATAACTAATTTTTTTAGAACATAAAAATTAAATTTTACTAGACTGTTAATCACCTACACATAAAAAAACATGCCCTAACCAAAAGTCGAAAATCAATGTAAACGTTTCTATTTTCGTGCACATCCATGAAACAGAACCCTTAAAACCCTTATTGTTTTGCTCAAATAGTTTACAAGACCTGTTTCAGTCTAGTAAAAATTTAGAATTTTTTTTCGTAGGTATTCCAAAAATGAGTGAAAAGATCTTTAGCGAACTCGAGGAAGACTATGAATTAATTTTTTAGTTGGTAGGTAGGTATGTACTTTTTACCTTTTTGATTCTGAACTGTTTTCCAAACACGTATTATTTTTTTTTTTGAGTCAGCAATTTTTACCTTTTTAATCTGAAATCCTGTCTCTAGTGGCTCATTAAACTACAATTATACGTTTTTTTAATGCGGTGTTTATCTATTTATCATTGTCATTTGTCATCTCAAAAGAGAAACAGGAAGCATACCAATTTCCAATTTTTTAAATAACAAAACTCTACTAATTACCAGATGTATCTTGTTTACGACTGTGAATACAATTACATCAAGCTGATTCGGTTAAATTACAACTCGGGAAATATTCCTCAATTATTAGATCATTTTTCATCGTGACATTGAAATTTTACTGAATGTTGGTTAATTAAGAAGGTCAAAACTAGTGCGGTACTTCATTCGTAGAAATTTTGAATTACAAAGGTACATAGAACATATTCATTGGTTATGTTAAAACTATAAACACGTATAAAATAATTCGAAGTGGTCTGTATTCTGTCGAAACTGCCAGACGCGGATCGCGATTTCGATCTTTTTGGATCTCATCAGCGCGTCGCAGGCAGCTCCGACAGAACACAGACCAACTTTTACCTGCTGTCTTAACAGNTGTTACTGAGATTCGACCAATTTTGTGACTTTATTTTAACTAACATAAAATAAAAAGAAATTGAGTGATCTTGCATCGGACGGGAGTAGAACCCAGCGAAACCCACAGAAAGCGCAATGAATATTGGCAAAAACTGTTTTTTATGAACTTGCCCTTGAATAATTTCAATATTTCTTTCTAATCACTAAAATAAATCGATTAAATAAAAGAATGATAACTAATTTTTTTAGAACATAAAAATTAAATTTTACTAGACTGTTAATCACCTACACATAAAAAAACATGCCCTAACCAAAAGTCGAAAATCAATGTAAACGTTTCTATTTTCGTGCACATCCATGAAACAGAACCCTTAAAACCCTTATTGTTTTGCTCAAATAGTTTACAAGACCTGTTTCAGTCTAGTAAAAATTTAGAATTTTTTTTCGTAGGTATTCCAAAAATGAGTGAAAAGATCTTTAGCGAACTCGAGGAAGACTATGAATTAATTTTTTAGTTGGTAGGTAGGTATGTACTTTTTACCTTTTTGATTCTGAACTGTTTTCCAAACACGTATTATTTTTTTTTTTGAGTCAGCAATTTTTACCTTTTTAATCTGAAATCCTGTCTCTAGTGGCTCATTAAACTACAATTATACGTTTTTTTAATGCGGTGTTTATCTATTTATCATTGTCATTTGTCATCTCAAAAGAGAAACAGGAAGCATACCAATTTCCAATTTTTTAAATAACAAAACTCTACTAATTACCAGATGTATCTTGTTTACGACTGTGAATACAATTACATCAAGCTGATTCGGTTAAATTACAACTCGGGAAATATTCCTCAATTATTAGATCATTTTTCATCGTGACATTGAAATTTTACTGAATGTTGGTTAATTAAGAAGGTCAAAACTAGTGCGGTACTTCATTCGTAGAAATTTTGAATTACAAAGGTACATAGAACATATTCATTGGTTATGTTAAAACTATAAACACGTATAAAATAATTCGAAGTGGTCTGTATTCTGTCGAAACTGCCAGACGCGGATCGCGATTTCGATCTTTTTGGATCTCATCAGCGCGTCGCAGGCAGCTCCGACAGAACACAGACCAACTTTTACCTGCTGCCTTAACAGTGCGTTTTAGAAAATACTACAAATGGCGCAGTAAACGCCATCTGTAGCACGATACTACATTTTTATAAACACGTAGTTTAAAAGAAATCAATAACAGATGAAATATTTTCCGGACTTGAGGGTTGAAGTAGCTTAATTGGATTAAAAACTTCAAACGTTTCGTTTTCAACGGTAGAAGAAATTTTTAGTGACAGATTTTGAGGCTATCGCTATGACATCCAATTTAATTTTTTAAACAGAAATCTTCGAATAGTTCATGCCCACAAGGGCGATGAGCCAATTCACATTATATTATTTTACCAAATATCAGGAAACAAACAAAAGCAAAAACATCAAAAGCAAGATAAGAGGTGGAGGTGCAAGGCTGAAAATGAAAAATCTGATAGTGGAATAGAAACCTGCGTGATGCCAAAAACCAAAAACGCTATTAGGATTTGTTACTTTTCAACTAAAAAAAAAATGACCCGAACAAGGACATTGTTCAATTCATGGTCGTCAGTGAGTTGTAATAATAATAGGATACAAATCACCATAAAATGCATTTATTTCGATATGAATGGGATTTTATTTATACGTATGTAGTGTGAATGTAACTATAAATAGAGGAAAGTGGTTTAATCTTTCATTGTTATTTAACTCTGGATGGGTACCACACAAATGCAAAATCCATTAACAGATTTTCGTATTATGGTTTCAGTTTACATATTTGAATTATAAATATAATTTATTGAGGCCCTTTGTAGTAGTTCTCGACCGTTTTTTGAGAGCAAGTTTTACTTTTTTATAAGTTATGTGTGTGAACTTTTCATTTTATTTCGATATAGGCAACATTCGCGCAACACTAGATAGTTTTGCGTTAGAACAAAAAGATCAATACTAAACTGATAACAACATAAATAGTACACGAGTATTTATAAATGTTCAATTTTGTCACACCTGTGTATTTTGATAAGCCATCAGACGTTATCAATTGTATCGAAATATATACTAATGGTGTGTGCAATGCCTACGTGCAATCTTGTTTCGCGAATTTCCGAGTCCGCGATTCATTCGCGATTCGCGGAGTCGACGGATCTCCGCGGATAGCGACGACGCACGCATGACGTCACATCCGACGCCTTCCAATATTATTAGCGATCGGTGCGAACCGCGACTCTAAAAGCAGTTTGTGAGTGACATGGTAGCATTGGCAAGTGAATTCATTCAACGCCAGTCGTCTGGACAGAAATGCATCAAGATGGTAGTAACGGACAGCATAAAAATCACTTTTACGGTAAGCGCCATTGTTAAAAAACCTAATTTAATTCATAAGATCGATAAGCGAAGCTCCGGGACTCTCTCGCCCTTGCCACCGGTGCTTTAGGGTTGCGGCCGAGCTGAAGCTTCCTAATCCTACAAAAAGCTCTCCTCATTGATGCTTTAAATAAAAGATCTAACAATTACATAGCGCGAAAATATGCATACACATTAAAAAATAATCTTATTTGTTGCAACAATAATACAATATCAAAAGGTAATCAATCATAAAGGAGAGTTATTAAGTCATGCAACTATTAATGTAAAACTAATTGAGTCCTGAGGAGAAATGTACCGAATAGTGGTTTTGCAGAATAGAGTACCGGGTAATTGAGAACCCGTTATTGGTATTCGATCGCATTTAGCCGGGAATGCGACTTCACTGTCAAAAATTGCCATTCGAATTTCAAAGTAAAATGCTTGATGTTATTAAAAGATACTGCAATTGCATAAAACAATCCAAATAGTTCTTTTCATTAAAAACCAACATACGGAAGCGTAAATAATACTGCAAACTGCCTCTCAAATTTAATACATGTAAATATATATATTTTNGTGTTTGTTTCAACCTACGCGCTTTCCCAAACTTGAAAGAAATAATTCGTAAATTTATCGATAACTGCTGACTCTAGATATGTTAAACAGTTAAAATTTGATGCAGAATTAAAAACTGTAATAAAAAATAGGTGCTTCCAATTGAAAAAATAAAGTCGGAGGTAGTGCTTATTTTTGAACCACCTTGTATACATGAATTTATAATGAAAAAACCCTCACTCGCAATCAAAAATAAAGATCGACGTGTCCGAGAGGTTTTCTAGAAAACAAACCCCTGAATTTTAAATGAATTTGTTCCAACCCACGCATCCTCACTATATAAGCTCAATATAAATGCAATTTAAAGCTTTTGAGGGGTGTTACGCTTTGTTCCAAAGATTTTGAGACTTCGATTAATTTAGGACAGTTTGCAATGAACCAGGTGATATTTTCAGATAAACATGGTTGAAAAAACATATTCCACACGTTCACCAAATTATGCATTTTGATTTCTGTGTTCGTGAACGTTTTGCTTTATCTATAGTTAGTAAAAATTACATATATGTATTTAGCACCACCCTTTGTTTACTACATTCAAATATTTAAAAATTTCTCATAACGCCCTGCACGTATGAATCTGCATATACTTGCTCCACCCCACTTCTGGGTAACAAAAACTTTTGAATCGCTTTTAATCATTGATAATATTTTCCTTTGTACCTAATCATATTCTCATGAAATTATGAGAAAGTTAAAAACTGAGTATTTAGATACAAAATTTATTCTATTACTTTAATAAATAAGGTACTACTGATAAATACTTCACGTCACTGTAATTTGTGTTAAAAGTATCTAAGTGTTCTATATTTATTTATTTATTGATATTTTTATTACAAATGTGACGAACCAACGAACCAATGCAACTCCATTTTTATCCACTAACTACCTATTATTTGTTATTTTTACGTATTATTAATATACGTCATTTATAATTACTTTTTCTTGTTTTGTTCTTTGTGTGTATTTTACGATTTTTTTGCGTTTGTTCTATTTATATTCAATATATGACAATGCAGCAGTTGTTTAGATGAGATTCTTTGTTCAATACTTAGACTTCCTTCAACGACCATTTTAAAACATTTTCAATTACCGTCCCTTATTCGATTTTCGTAATAATTATACATATTTATTATTTTTTTCGTTTTCTAAATTTTATTGTTTCGACTTAATTCATTTGATACTCAAACAATGACGTAACTAGCGTTAGTGGCATCCACGTCGACACTGAAAGTATAAGAATTGAGAATTGAACATAGGGATATTCTATTACATGCTATCAGAAAAAGGTTGAATCGCCTTTTGAAAAATTTGACGTAGGTAATATAGGAAAATTCGTAAAAATTACCTTCAGTCATCTTTTTATATACATACTGGCGACCCGCCCCAGCTTCGCACGGGTGCAATGCTGATACTAAATATGCATATTTTTGTTTTGTTTAGATTATTATCGAGAAGGGGAAATCTTCAAAAGATACCCCCTGAACATACTAAATATACTACAGAATGTCTTTATATACAACATTCACAGTTTTTTTGTCATTAGACAATACAAACCGGCCTCCCGGCAGGTACTGCCGCAACCGCTTTGTCCCTGCATTTTAAATGTGTAATATCTTCGAAAATATTCATTTAAATTACATGCTGTAAAGGGCCATATTGATCAATATTAAATGCACAACATATTTAAAAGTACTTAATTGGATAAGAATTAATGCTGCATTGCTTAAAATCGCTTCGTAAATAAGTCATTAGTTCTCGTAAAAAATAAAGGATAAAAAATGGTTATTGTGGGTTATCCCTAAGAGATAGACATATACCATCCCGCACTTTTTTGTAGACCCTTTTAAGATGTACAATACTGTAGTACATTATTTTGATCTATCTCGTAGGGTTCAACCAGCGTTTGCAATGTAAGCGCAAAAAATGTGTTTATTTACGACATCACATTAGAAACCTCTAAAATTATCAGTGTTTCCCTACTATATTATGCATGTATTATACATATAAACCTTTCTCTTGAATCACTCTATCTTTTAAAAAAACTCTATCAAAATCCGTTGCGCAGTTTTAAAGATTTAAGCATACATAAGGACAGACAGCGGGAAAGCGACTTTGTTTTATACTATGTAGTGAAGTAACATACAATGAGGACGTGTGGGTTGGAGAAAAATCATTTAAAATTAAAGGGTTTGTCTTTTGGGAAAACGCTCGGGCATGTCATTCTTTCATGTATACACGGTGGCCCAAAAATAAGCGGCTACAACCGACTTTATTTTTTTCAAATAAGCACTTTTTTTATGACATTCTTATATTATTATTATATATTAATTATTAATTATGTTTCATTGTACTTAAAATTGTATAATACCCAGACTAACTGCGCTTTATCGAAATGCTGACAACCCAAATGTACCAGCAGTTTAGGTATGGCTCCAACAGGATGGAGTACCCCCTACACCCTTCGCGAAAAGTAGGAGATTACCTTAATAATATTTTCCCAAATAGATGGATCCAAAGGAGAGACGTTGTCGAATGACCATTTAGGTCTCCAGACCTCACCCTACTAGATTTTTATCTATGGGGTTATCTGAAATCTAAAGTCTACTTCAATAAATAAACCGTAAAATATTGAGGAATTGATGAACAAAATTAGAGCTGAAATACAACAAATCCAGCCTTAACTAAAGTGTTACGAGACTTTCAAAATCGACTTAACTATTGTCAGGAAGTTAATGGCCAACAATTTGAACATTTAATTCAGTAATTTGTTGTTCCATTGTTTAATTATTTTCCAAAAAACAAAGCCTTCAATTTTAAATGTGTTTGTTTCAACCTACGCGCTTTCCCAAACTTGAAAGAAATAATTCGTAAATTTATCGATAACTGCTGACTCTAGATATGTTAAACAGTTAAAATTTGATGCAGAATTAAAAACTGTAATAAAAAATAGGTGCTTCCAATTGAAAAAATAAAGTCGGAGGTAGTGCTTATTTTTGAACCACCTTGTATACATGAATTTATAATGAAAAAACCCTCACTCGCAATCAAAAATAAAGATCGACGTGTCCGAGAGGTTTTCTAGAAAACAAACCCCTGAATTTTAAATGAATTTGTTCCAACCCACGCATCCTCACTATATAAGCTCAATATAAATGCAATTTAAAGCTTTTGAGGGGTGTTACGCTTTGTTCCAAAGATTTTGAGACTTCGATTAATTTAGGACAGTTTGCAATGAACCAGGTGATATTTTCAGATAAACATGGTTGAAAAAACATATTCCACACGTTCACCAAATTATGCATTTTGATTTCTGTGTTCGTGAACGTTTTGCTTTATCTATAGTTAGTAAAAATTACATATATGTATTTAGCACCACCCTTTGTTTACTACATTCAAATATTTAAAAATTTCTCATCTGATAAACCCTTTTTGTTATTGTGTCTGGGGATGTTTGGTCTCTACAATTGATGGTCTGACTGCTTACAAAAAGTATTGAATTAGTTCCCTAAGTATTATATTTAAAAATAAAGACTTAGGCTGTAAGTAAAATTACGATTTTTGTTGCAAACTTCGAAGCATCTGACAGAAATTGCCGCCGATGGAAAGTGTATGGAAGTGTTGATTATTAATTTTTAACAATTTTAACAAAAAGTCAAGGCAATATGAGCGGGTGAGTGGGATTAATTTTTTTTAGGCAGCGTTTTGTTCGCAACATTCTCCTGAATACAACGATATAGGTTTCCAGTCGGTAACCTGGTTACGTATTGTTTAAATCATGATTGTTTAAACAAATGCCAATGGCAGAAACAATTATTTTATATTGGTTTAAGCTCGATAAGAAAGGTCTACGGTTTTTTCTTATAAGATTAATATGAATTTTTGAAAGTCTGAATACACATGAAAATCGCTATTTTCTGTACTCAAAAAGTTGTTGGGAATTTTCAATCTTCCTTCAGCATAAGTAGAAGGGTGAAGTCGGTAGATCGTNAAACTATATTTAATAAATTGCACCAAAGAAATTTTTCTCTTTTCTATTTCAAGATTTTATATATTAGGCATGTTTGCTGATTGATCGTCTGCAAGGCGCTAATATAAGATGCACGGATGGAAAAAAGACAGCAATACTCAGTGGGAGTGTATATACAGTATGTCTACTTAAGTTGACAGCATATGGGAAACATTTTTATTATTAATCTTACGAGAAAAAGTTACTCTGTATAAAAATTCCTGCACGGTCTGAAACACATAATGACATCATTATACTTTAAGAATCTGTCAGTCAAATACAAGTTTTGGCACAAGATATGAAACTTGTATAACAGTAAGTACCTTTATTTTTGAAAATAGCAGAAATAATTATAAAGAAAGCTGTTAAAAATTAAT